TGCCTTGCCTTGCCTTGCCTTGCCTTGCCTTCCTTTGCCTTGCCTTGCACAGGTGCCTGGGAGCTGCAGGGTCATCTCTGGGGGGCTGCCCCAGCTGTGTCCAGGTGTGGCCTTGCTCAGGAGGTGGGCTGAGAGAGTGCTGCTCCCCAGAGGGTGGTCAATGGGCCAGAGGCCTCCCTCTCTTCCTCCTTCCTGCTTGGCGGTGGCCTCTTGGGAGTGCTTTGGCCCTGTATGGCAGGGGTTGGACTAGTGGCCCTCCCTTACAAACGGTCTGGAGGCCGAAAAGAAAGGAGAGAGGGAGAGACAAAAGAGGGGCATTGGCAGAGAAGGGAGTTTTTATATAGCCAATGACTGCAGGAGTTTTCCAGATTCACATGGTCTAGTTACTCAGCTACACAAAGTATTTATGACCATGAATTTCAATGTACAGAAGAAGAAATGGGGAGACATGAGATAAGGACATCAGAATGGGTTCATGCATGCAGGACGTCCTGTCCCATTTAATTCCCAATTGCTCTTAACAGCAGGGCAGAGAGGGAGGGAGGGAGGGAGGGAGGGAGGGAGGGAGGGAGGGAGAACGCAGGATTTTCCCAAGAAGACCATCCCTTCTTGGGCTAGTGGCCACCCTCTCAGCCCCTGTTGAGCTCCACTCAGGAAAAGAGGAATGAGGTTGCGAGAGCAGCTCTGAATGAATGGCCCACTGGCTTCCAGAAGAGGCAGGCGATTGGCATGACCAGGGGAGGAGGAAAGGCAGCAGACCAGCCTCTTAGGAAAAGAGAGGTTCTGGAGCTCTTTCCTATGTGTGCGTCGCTGGTGTGTGCATGTGGTGTGTGTACGCATGTGTGCATGTGTGTGTGTGCATGCGTGTGCACACAATGGCTACAGGTGCAGGGCAGGCTTCCAGTTGTCAGGAGAGCAGCAGCAGCAGCGTGATCCGCATGCAACTCGACAGCAGCTGCTCATTTGCAGGCTGCCTCTTCCTTTCCTCAGCAGCTCATTTGGGTGGGCTTTACCTGTGTCTGTCTCTGACACTAAGAGGTCCTGTGGATGATGGTTGGACTGGCAGCCCTGCTCTTCCGGCAGGCCTTTAGATTTCCTGGCCTTAAGAGTTAGTCCATCCTTCTCTTCCCCTGTTCTCTGTGACAGCCAGGGTTATTGTTTCTTTTAGTGAATTTTATTTTAAGTACATTTTAAATTATGATATTGTTTAATACCTTTTTAAAGGTTGGTGGGTTTTGGGGTTCTCTGGGGTCTAATTGTGATTTTGAGTTAGTTTAAGCTCTCAGGTAAGCTGCCTCAGATTGGGGTACATCCCCTGCCCCCTACTCTGCTAAAGAAAGTTAATCTCTAACCGGTTTAGCTTTGATATTTTTGATATTTAAATATTTTGTTTTCCAAACAAATGACATACCTTTAGAAAAGTTTAATTCCCAACAATGACCAGCATCTGCCTTTTGTGGCCTTTGTGCTCCATGGGGCTTCAGCTCCTGAACTTCTGGACCAGAAACCTGTTCTGTGGGGTGGCCCTGGGTTGGATCACACAGCCCCAGAATGCCCAAATGGATCCCAAGGGATCCCGCTCCTGTGCATGGTATTCTATGCTGCTCCTTTCCCTTCCTCACATGCCTGACCTCTCTGGTTTTTCCACCTGGAAGTGCTCCCTGTGTTCTGTCCAAAAAGCTCCTCCTCTTCCTGCACCAAAGCCTGGTAGGTGCCCATCAAGTTCCCTTCAGGTGTCTCTTTTTTGTGGTGGGGCTGGGCAGGGGGCCCTAGTGTGGCACCTGCAGCCCACAGAATGCTGTGATTCCCCACAAAGCTTTGCCCCACCGCTGCATTGCCCTTGCCAGCTATGCTGCTTGGTCCTCTGTGGGAGAGATGGGACCACCTGGGTGGGGGTGAGGTGGCCATTTGACTCTCCCCCCCAAACCCCCTGCTTGCTGCATGTGCTAAGCAATGGGAGAGAGCTGGGGAACTGGTCAGACCCATAGACCCTTTCTGTCCACACTGCAGGGAGACCTCAGTCCTCTTCCCACTTTGGCCGCCTGCTAGGTAGCAAGGTCACGGGGGGAGGAAGGGCTAGTGGGGGGGGGGCTGGAGTGGCCATTCTTGATCCCGAAGGGAAGGCAGGCGTTGCTTGCCTGCTTGTTTGCATGTTTCCCCTCCTTGGAGGATAAGAAGAGCTGTGAGACAGGCGTGAATGTGAGCTGACACATCCCAGGGGATGACAGGAGACGAGTTTAGAGGAACCTCCTTTGGCCACAGACTCTGGGAGATGACGCAGAGAACCAGGGAGTTAACTGTGGAAGATTTTTGCCTCAAAAAACTTGTCCAATTTCATTTCTAAATCCTTCCAGTGGAGGTGAAACTGTCTTGTATCTGTAGACTATTTTACCCCAGGAGGGTTTTGTAACAGACATGGAAACAGATTGCTTGTGACAGAGACTTCCAGAAGTCTCCGGGAGTGGCTCATGCGCAGCACCCAGCGCCTGTCCCCATTGCCAGAGGAAGAGGAAGAGGAGAGGCTTAGACAAGGCTTCTGATGGTGCAGGAAAAGAAGAGCCATGAACACCCATACACACCCCGAAGTCTGGAGTCCGTGATCAGAATAAATCATTATGCATCCTGTTACTGTTCCCCTTCATTTCGTCAGGTTAAAAATAGGGAGCAGAGTTTCTCACAGGGAAAACAAACAAAAACAAAACTTTGCATTGAAAACTGCACTCAGAAGTGGAGCAGACAGGTTTACTCGCCTCTTCATCTTGTGTTAGTGTTTCATCTGTCCTGCATTTGGCTTCAAACTGACCTTCAGTTGGACCTTTGGTACGGGATCTGAGTCCCTTGCTGTCTCTGTTCTCCTGGCGATTTTCTCTGTAGGAAAATTGCATTTGCTCCGGTGGTCCCTCTATCCCCACCACTTGAGTGTTGGATCTGTCTCCTTGATCCTTCTGGCTCTTGTTGAATTGTTCCACATTCAGGCTACATGCCTCTCATTCTCACTGACTGGGAAAAGTGGAACTGAGAAACTTGTCCCTCTTTCCTTCCTTCCTTCCTGATCCATAAAGTGAGAGGGGGCTCTATTTTCTGCATGAGGAAAAGACAGTCAGTGGTGGTGTTTACAGCCAGGGCTCCAAGAAGAACTGGGCCTTTTGCCTTCTGCACCCACCCAGGCACCCCTGCACTTGCTGGCATTAGCCACAGACAGACACACAGACACACACCCGCTTTCTCTCCCCCCCCCCCGAATTTGGGACCCATTTGGATTCTGCATCCCAATGAAGTGTGTTCCTGTGTGTTCTGGAGCAGCGGCTGCTGCCTCTCTTCCAGAACTGAACTTCTGCTGCAGGAAGTTGCATGTGACGGAGGAGCCCACTTAATATGCAGCAGAGAAAGAGTGCCACAAAGAAAATAAGATAAGGTGGAAATGTTGAATATTCATTTTTCATGGTTAGAGGGTGTTTTTTCCTATCGTTCAGTTATTCAAATTAGCTTTGATTTGTTGCTGCCATTTAAACAACAAAGACTTAAAGGAACCTAGCAGGATAATCCTAGTTTCTTATGAAATACCCATTCAAAATCCCAAATACATAACAGGGCATGACAATGACAACATTTAAACAAAAGAATTGGATGGCAAAGAAGACTAAGAAGAAAATGTTTGTTCCCCATCCAATGGACTCTGAGCCCCATGGACAATAATCCAAGTAGCCTTCCTTGGGAGATGGAGGTGCAGATCTCTCTGAAAATGGAAGAAAGCCACCCCAGTCTCAAAACTGGCATCATGTTTCCCTGCAATTACTCATTCTTGACATCATTGTTTAAAATGTGTGCTCTGCCTTAAAACTCATATGCCTTCCTTCCCACCCAAGTCCATGGCTTTGCTGAAAGGCTCCTCCCTGGCAGGCCTGGATGACACTGATGGCCGTGGGCTGCCCTCCTTCCGTGGGCTGGGAGA